GTCACCATTAAATGATGGACCATGGAAGCCGCTCCGTAATGCAATGTCTTTTTCTGGGCCTTTAAACTTTGGTCCGCTAAGCTCGGCATCACCATCAATATCCGCACCAAATGAAGGACCTTTTGGTCCAGAGAATTTTCCTTTTGGGCCATGTACTTGAATGTCGGAGGTTTCTGTGTCAGCGTTTATAGAAGGTGGTCTCACAGACCCCCCAGCTGAAGGAACACCGTAATCTACGTCCAAGTCATCTGTTGTCTTTGGCGACGAACAACAATTCAGCTTTCCTCCCTTCTTCTTCTGGGCAGCATTTGGTCCTGAGTAATCCATTCCTCTTCCATCGACATTTCCTCGGCCGGATATTTTTCCTTTTGGTTCTTTGCCTTCAGCTTCGTATGCGTAGTTCATTTCTCCTTGAGTTTTAGGTGAACCACAGCAGCTTGCCCCTGACTTGGCCTTCGGTTGAGATACAGCTAGGTGTGGAGGCCCGGAGCCATCTCTATTGTATTTCATATTTGCTGAAAGAGAAGAAATATCAAATAAGAATCAAATTTTCAATTTAAAAAAAAAGTATTTATCCATCTCTAAATCCATTCATTTCTCCCTCCCTACAACCATCCATCTATCCATCCATATTTTATTTATTTAATCTTAATGGGTTTATTTTGTATTATTATATTGTTTTCTGCTCACCTTTAATATTGTGCGAATTTTTCACCACTCCAACTTGTATTTTCTTGCCAGGAGCATTTCGAAGTATGTTCATCGAGTCCTCATAAGACTTTCCCTTGATAGGTACCCCGTTGATTCCAACAATCTCGTCACCTTTAAAAAACAAAATAATTAACGTTATGTATAACAGAAATGCTCAACACCTTGGTCACCAGTCTTAACAAGACGTGACCACGATAGCATATAGCCGCCATGATGGATGATGACATAAGAAAGCCCGCTAAATTTATCCAATATGGCGACTGTGGTATCACATGAAGGCCAAGGATTTGGTATGGTAGTCAAGGGTGATTGGCTAGTATAAGGGTTGCATACCTGGTTCAATACTGACTTTGCTTGATGTTGGGTTGTAGACTTTTCTTACGAACATCGCAGGGCTGGGAAACTCTGGTTCCTTTGCAATGAGAACGTCTAGGGAGCCGTTGTTACCTTTACGTATAGATGTATCTACAACAGGCTGTAAAAAAAAATCGTTGTGGGTTACCTGTGGTCGCTGATAAACAGGGGACATCCTCTCTCATCCCTCATGTATAAGGGGCATCTATACTTACCCCTACTATATAAGGAATTTGTCCATCGGGACCGGAGACTCCACCAACACATGCAACTGGGCCGTCAAATCCATCATTACCCATCCCTCCCTCCATGTTGATGACATGCGACTTTGGTCCTTGTACCCCTACATTTCCACCAGATTTTCCAGAGATATTTAGTTTACGAGTGTGACCAACGGGTTCCAATTCATAACCGTAATCAGATTCTCCTTTGGTTTTTGGCTTGCCACAACAGTTTAACCCTGACTTGCCCCGTACTTTTGGGCCACTAGCGGATACATTTCCTTCGGGAATTTCAACAACGGTATCACTTGATGTACCGGGTCTGTTCACGTCTACACTGGGCATATTTGCGCGCATTTCAGCTGAAACAAACGTACAAACATACGATAAGCATACTGGTTTGCCTCCTTGCCAGTTGGGATTCTTAACACGCTTTATGTTTATTTGATCTTTCATTTCAGTTTATTAATTGTAGGACGGCCATAATGAAAACTACTGGGCTACCAGTAAATGTATGTCACCCTCGTTAAATAAAGTCAATTTATTTATTTATTTTAATAATTAAAGCTACAAGGCACTTAGGCCAGTGTGTTTAACGTCCTGAGAAAAATGTCTACATGCGTGCCTACATGGTATTTTCAAATGGTACTCGTACATACTTATACATTTTCGTATCAAAATATATTGTTCACTGAACACAAACCTTTCTTCTGGAGTGAGTTCTTGACTATGGTTAGTTTTAGAGGTTTAGTGTCACCCGGTACAGGGTGTAGAAGACTTTTAGATTCTTTATGCGACATTCCTTCAAGACTCTTGCCGTTGATTCCAACTATCTCATCACCTGGAGGGAATAAATAACAGTTTCATTTGATTGTATGTCACTGTTGCAAGCAATGTTAATGGGCAGTACACTACTGATTCTGCGCATGTTGCGTCAGAGATCCGATTCAGACGCTAGCGTGAACCGGTTTTTGCTTTACGACGATCAAGCAGGGAGAGTCGATCAAACTGCAGCACCGTACCAAGGGAGTTCTTTCTGGTCCGAAGTCAATCACCCAAGAATATTTAGTTGCATAGCACTAAGCATTTAAAACTTGAGGGGGAGGGGATTGGGCGCCATTAACTTCAGAAAGGGAAATCAACGCCTTATCTTACCATATTCAAATACCCCCACTTTGGATGCTGGTCCATTAGGAACTACTTCCCGGACAAACATCGAAGGAGTCGGGAACGTTTTTTCATGTGCGATCATCAGCCCAAGTGAGCCATCTTGACCGCGATTGATCTCTGTGTCCATCTTGGGCTAAAACAGTTCAATAATTTACCATTAAAAATAAATATAAATAAACTGCTTTACTCTTAATATTATATAATAGTGTCGGATGTCCCACAAATGTTGTTCTAAAGAGTACTGCAAGGGTTACGAGGCAATTTTATTTTATTTTGTCAGGACATGAAACATTTGAAGCCATATATGATTTATTTTCCAGGATCAGAGTTTTAAATTCTGGGATCAGTATTCTAGCTAATTTTGTTTAGCTTGTGGGACATATCAACGGTGACTAAGGGAGGCGGAACTATGAATTTGAATCATTTCCTACAGATTTGAAAATCCTTACCCCAACAATATAAGGTATTTTCTGTTGTGGTCTGTTCATTCCTCCTCTTCCATCCACATCGGGTACATCAACTGCAACCTCTTTGCTTCCAGGACCAAAGGTCGGGTTCGTGATACCGATATCTACATCATTACCTATGCATTTATAAATATTAGGGATTTATTACATTATCAGGATCATGCACAACAAGTATTAATTGTCGTGGTATGTCGCTGCTTCACCACGACGCTGGTGCATTGCTGGATTTTGACTAAAAAGATACCACCACTTTCTGAATTTTGTGACGGAAACAAAAAGCTCCACCATCTCGTGTCCCGACCTCTGTAATACTGACGTAGCCATTCTGTATGCCATCTTCCCGCCAACCCCTCAAGCATACGCAGTACGTTTCTTTTAGCATGATCACTGATATGACCATCAGTCTTTGATTTATCAATGCAGATTGATGTATACTCAAATTATAAACTTGAGCAGCGAACGCAGAGAATCGGATTAACTCCATCAGTCCCTGATGTTTCACCGCGCGCCGTATGGGAAAGATATTTCTACGCATGTTGAAATAAATCAGTTGGGCGTCAAAGACTTGATACAGTTACGTTGATGATAAAAACCAACTATCAGTTTTTATATTTTGCAACTAGATAACTATCAGCACTGCTGAGAATAAAGGGCTCCCCTGTTAACAAAAAAAGACTTGATACAGTTACGTTGATGATAAAAACCAACTATCAGTTTTTATATTTTGCAACTAGATAACTATCAGCACTGCTGAGAATAAAAGGCTCCCCTGTTAACAAAAAAATTCATTTTGCAAGAAAAAACCTTGGATAGATTAATACAAATGTTGACGACAAAGCCATTATTGACAAAAATGAAATACAAAGTGGTGGGATTTGATGGAGTGAGTTTTCAGAGAACGCTTAGTGAACTACAAAAGTGTTTAGTGTGTTGCCGGTTGATTTCTTATTTAAAATGACAGGTATTTATGTTAATATAGGGACAACATTTAACAAACTACACTGAGATCAACAGTAAACTGAGAAAAGAAAAAAACATTTTCAGTATCTGTCATGTTTTAAACTATTCTCAATTCTATTTATATAATAAACATAAGCTTTAAAAAATATTTACTAGAATTATGTTTATGCTTCCAAGTAAGAATAAAAATTTATTAATTCAAAACTTGTCTTAACAAATATTTCGTAGCTACACTGGTAAATTTAAGAAGGCATAAAAAGATAAGAATATTCTTTACGGTTGCTTTCTTTTAAAATGTTACCACCAATGTTATACCGACTTTACTAGATATTTATCAAAAGTTTGGCCTAAGTTTTTTGGTTGAACAACGGAAAGTATGTAGAAAGCTGCCGCCAGATAAGTTGCGCGAACTGGCGTACAAAAGCTATAGTTATGTTAGGGCATATTCTATTGTCACTTCTAGATCTGACACTTGCGAAGCCTTAAATATTTCGAATATATGCTAGAGATTCTTATCATTAACTCCAACACACATCTTTTTCTACTTTACTGTATTTTTCCATGAACTTTTCCTTGTTAAATTTTCGTTGTGTTGTGTGTTGTGTTGTGAATATTTATTTCTAAGCTCCACTGAAATCACGAAAGTGGGGAAAACTTGTCAAAATAGACTTAGCATAAATAAAATGAAACTATCGTTGACGGAGTCAAAAGTTTTGTAGCGTTGATTCTCGAGTTAATACGTGTTTGTTTTAACAAAATTGTGGCTAAAGAAAAATCTCGTTCACTCGAGGAATGTATTGAATTATTCTTTCGTCATTCCGTCGCTATATTGCAGTGAAAAATCAGGTTTCTTCTGGTGACTTCACTTCCGACTCGACGCTATTTGCGTGTTTAAAAGAACACTAGAACATCCATGATAAATTATGGCTGCAAGACTTAAAAAAACCCACAAACGAATAATTTTACTGATAATTTTTGCGCGAAACATAGGAAAAAATTAAGTTGTTTCCAGAAGTTTTCTCTTCCTAAAAGCTCTTTACAGATGCAAAATTCAAATATTCATTATAAAATATCCAGAATATTCACGAACTTGAGTTTTTTAAATTAAAATATGGTATTGGATTCGGAAGATTCGGAAAACTTTTAAAAAATTATTATACCAATGCTACGAATATTGAAACAGTAGGCTGGCTGTTTATTGCAACACCTTTGTTCTTTCTAGTTTTTAATACAATGAAAAAATTTAAGCTTGAAAACACTTTCAAATTATTCAATCGATAAATTTAATTATTTAAGACAGAACTTTACTTGAGACGACAATAGGCCCTTTGCAGCTAGTGGTCACGTGCT